TGTGTCATGTCTCGCTCGGCAAAGGGAGATGAGGTGAACCGTCCCAGGACTAGCTCCATCGCTGTGCGTTCCACGTTGGGCAACACCCTAAGGACGAAAGATTTCACAAGCTTATGCATAGCAGCTGCCAGCCTCCTGGCGGGCTCCGGAAGCCCTTGTCCACGAGCGCTCGGGACCCACCTGGATGGTGAGCAAAGGCCGAAGCCATCCGTGAAAGGCGACTCATCGCCGGCCCACATCACGTCGATGGGATTGCCACGGTTGCAGCAGAGCTCCGGTCTGAAGGCCACGGCTTTGCCCTCAAGTTGCGATTTACTGTCCAAGACGAACCCCAAGTCCCTGACCAGTGCTAGATCAGCCGATTCAAGTTTCTCGTATCCTGGGACCGTGAAGGCAACCATGACAAGTCGATGGCCCTTCCAGGGCTCAGTGCAGTGATGCCTATCCCTGGCCTCGAAGACAAAAGGATCCTTCGTGATCTGATGCACCTTGCCTCGTAGTTCCTGACCATCCAGGAGACGGATTTCGTCCCCATGCTCATCTTCGAGCCAAAGCCCCCCTTGTTCAAAGTCCGACACCGCCAAAATGGCGTTGTGCGTCGAGCCGTTTCTCCCATCGCGGTGCAGGGGAGTTGGCACATCCTCAAGCAAAGTGATTGTCGTGAAGGTGTGCTCCGGAAGCACCTGTTTCCAATATGCACAGAGAAGCCTAGAGCAATTCGGCAGCAACTTAGTATGATGTCTCAGCCCAACCGAACCTGCATGGTAGTAACAGCCTACGCTGAAAGAAGTGCCTTGCTCAGGTCTGTCTTGCGACCTCGGTGGCTTTTCCCGCGGAAGGAGCTTATACAACTCAAGCAGATGGTTCCTGGTCAACTCAATGCCCGACTTCAAGAGAGATGATGCAAAGCCTTCGGGATCAGCCGTTGATGCCGCCTCACCTGTAACCATACCCGAACTAACCCCGGCCGCATTACAGGGGGAAGCTGACTCGGAAGAGGGAGAGCTAAGGTTCTTAGCAGCCGGGGGCTTATCCGTCATGGCAGGAGGACGGTGCTGCGCCCCCTTCTCCTGAGGAGCGACTGCCAGGGCGGCTCTGGCCACAAAAGCACAAAGTTCCGGCGTAAAGCGAGCAAGGTTGCCCGACTGCCAGCCACTGGGCTGCGAACGCAAAAGATCTGCATGCTTATGGCCGCAACGGGGCGGCAAAGGGCCGCGATAGCGCCCATCATCATCCAACGACGGAAGTCCTGGGAAATGTGGCACGGCAGCGCGCCAGCTGGGCAAATTGCTCAAGAAACGCGTAGGCTTCGATGTGAGGGCACCATAGTGGCACTGATACAATGCAAAAGTGATAGCTCCGCGAGAAATCAGATCAAGCACCTCAGCCCACTCCCATGGGGAAGCAGGCAACACCTGGTCATGTGCCACACCGAGGCGCTCTGGATGGTCAAAGACAAAGAAACTGCCAAAATCAAAGCAAACATGCGCTGAAGCAACGGCCTGAAAAATGAAATCGTTATCAAGATGGACTTGCAGTGCAAAGGATTGTCGCAACCAAGGA